TTCAACAGTTAAGATTGTGTCTATTGCTGTATGTGGAATTTTACATGGAGCATACAGTCCTACTGATGTTACCTAAGCTGGCAAATGTTGTAGACTGTACATAAAACAAAAAATCTGTAAACATAGAAATGTCATCTGAAGCAGGCGGAAAGAAGCTGACACCCTCACTTTAGCCATTGAATCAGTCAGAGAGAGACACTGTAACCATGAATATGACATTCTATTTTTCTCCAATGAATATCCAGTATCACGCTTGCTCTGAAGAATAATGAACTTTTAAACTTTAAAAATGTCTTCTAAACAGACCTGGGCCAATAAGAGGGTGAAAAGATCTTCTGGAGAGATCTATTCCTTCCAGTTCTGAAATAACTTGTATATTTTGGGTTAGTCTACTAACTTTGGCAATAAAAAGGTGGGTTCCAGTACTAGTTGGAGCTTTAGGTAGTCACGAGAAGGTGAGGTGGAGTCCCCACTAAAGTTCTTTTACGGATCTAGCCCTGAGTCACAAAGAAAACATGTGGCTAGGCAGAGAATTAAACCTTAACTAGTTATATCCCCTCCCCCAAGAAGAAGGGATATGCCTTGTCCAAAATCTGTTCCCAGATTAAGAGAGACATTGGCTGACTCTGCAGCTTCTGCGGAAATTTTAAAATAAAACTGAATTGGTTAGAAGAATAATTTGAAATGCATGTTGTCTGCCTTGTACCAGTAACCTGATAGTACAGTGTATGTCTTCTCCACAACCTAATGTACTGAGAAGTACATTGCAAAACCAAGAACTACTTTATTTATTTTGCAGGTGTAGGATGTGATGTTTAGTACAATGGAGCTTCCGTTTTCCTCCGAGGTCTTGAGATACTATTACATGAGGAATACCTGATACTGATTAGTAACTTTGTTTTTCACAGCTCTAGAGACTCTTTTCACTATGAACTTTCCAGAACTGACTTCTAACCTGTTTTCTGGTGTGTCTTTGTACTAACTAGCTAAGAGAACTGGAATGGGACATCATCAATCCTCAGCATGTCCTCAGGTGTGCCGAGGGTCTGCCATCACCGCTCTAGAATCAAACTACAGTATCTTTTGTTACTCAGCTTACAACAAAACCCATGTCTAGCTTGTGGCTCCCTTTTCAGGTTTCCTAATTTTGAAGGGCTTCAATCTCACTGTTACCTCCTTTCTCTTCCTTCTAAAATAAGCTGCAGGTCTCTGAAAAGATACATGGTGCCAACACCATGGCACAGGCATGAAAGAAATGGCTTAGTGGGTGCGAGGGCTGCACATCTGGCAGTGACTCCCGTGGGACACAGAGCAACCCCACCATGGCGAGGTGAAGAAGACTCAGACCTCACACCTCCTGCTGGGCCTTGGATAAGATATGCCTCCATTATGTGATCCCTGTGATCCCATTTGGGATGTGCCTGCACTTCTGGTGAAGGTTACTGAAGAAGTATGTGCACTTAAGCAGCTTCTACACTTGTATATAGCAGATACTGAGCCTGCCCGGTAATTAATGTCTATGCAATCTCATCTCTGAGTGAGTACATTTAACGTGCTTTGTTTCACTTCTGAGTTTCAGAAACAGAATAATTTCTATGTCATCCCACCCTATAGAGTAAGTTCAATAAGGTGAGCTGCACTAGTTTCTGAAGTACTTTTGGGCTTCTAACTAACCCTTTCCAATGACCTTCACGTTGGAACTGAGATGCAGGGTTTTTTTTTCTAGTTTCAATTTTAGAGATTTATTTTGAGGCTATGGCATTCACTTTAGCATTTGTATTGAACATTTTAGGCAGGGTATGAGTTTTCTAATCCAGGCTCTTTTTAGGCATTTATTTAACCAACACAAAGGTGCTCTGGGTTTATAGATTTAGCGTAATTTGGATATTGCAGTCAGCAAACAGACACTGTCAGCAAAGCATGCCAGTACCTTTAACCAGACTGTCTATTGGGCCATTTTATCCAAGCCCTTGTAGCTCCTACATCAAGATAAATGATACTATAATGTACACCAAGCAAATAAAATTGACCTGTGACCAGAACATCAGTTCAGGGATTTTAAGTGTAGGTTAAAGCATGGTACTGGTTCCTGATACCCCTTATCTAATGTTATGGTCAGCATCAGGGTGCAGGAAACATTTAAAGCCTTTGAATAAAGTAGGGAAAATAAAAACGGTCCTTTAAACATTCACTTACTTCATCACTTATATTCAGTTTTTGTATTGAACTTCTTGAGGTTTAAAATATCCTATGCAAAAGTTGTTCACAGTGTTGTACAGCTGCAATGCAGGCAATTCTGATTTGACAACATGATGAAAAAGGTTTTTAACAATGGTAAAATGTTAGTAATCCTAGTGTAGGTAATACAGTCCGTTGTATGAAATAATGGGTACAGTCTGGTCACATATCCCTGAGACAAATGCAAAACTGGAGGAAATGCAAGAAAGAGCTGTGAAGATGATCAGGGAAATGGAGACCTGAGTGTGTGAAAGAGCTTGTTTAGTCTCCGTCAATGAGGACTGAGAGGGGATATGACTGGTCTCCATCAATATTTTAGAAGGCAAACAGTGGAGAGGAAAAAAAGCTAATTAAACTAAAGGACAATGTTGGCACAATGACAAGCAGGTATAAATTGACCATGAATACATTTAAGCATGAAATGAGTAGAATATTTCTAACCACCAAAGGAAACAAGTTTTGAAAGAGGAGATGCAGCAGCAAAATGCCTAAGAACAGTAAAGGTTATTTTCCTGACAGTTTGTGTAAGTCTATGACATGGCTGGCTGTGATCACAAGAGAAGAGACTGGATAGCTTCACCTTGGCCACATTTGGCCAGCGTCCTTTATCAATCAAGGGAAAAACAGGCTTCCAGATGCACTTGGAGACTGTAGTGTGTGGGATGAGAAAAGGAGGGAGGTTACTCCCTAAATGGTCAGTCAACTGATCTAAAGCCTTGTCCCTTCACCCTTCTGGTGAAGAGAGTGGCTGGATTCAAAATTAAACATCCAAAGTTTAAATACCCAATACTTAACTGAGTTACAATTTAACATTTAAATCTATCTTTTATAAAATACCTTGTGAGTCTTTATGAAAGGACAGTTTTTGTTTACCTATGCATTAACAATATTTTAATTTCTGTTTTACTTCTTCTTAAAGAAAACAATGGGTTTATATTCTATATTCTTCAAAAATCTCAACCCAAACACCAGGTTTCAATCTCTGTCATGTGTTCCAAAAATTCTTCCAAAGACCATTGCAGGTCTGACCATCAATTCAGCAGAAAGCTAAACTGAAGTTAAAGAAAGGGAGCAGATTATCTGGGATGTATGTAACGTGTCTCCTGTCCCAGTTCCACTCATAACTTCCTCTCCCACCCCCGGTCAGCCTGAATGTTTTAGACAGTTCAGACGATACAGAAATGTCATGGAAATACAGGAAAAAAACCATCTCCCGGGGATACTAAGAGTGATCAAGTTAAAAAAAAAAAGAAAGAAGAAAACTTGAGAATAAATAGCACTTCTTGTAGTGTCAGTATGCCAATTTTAGCTCATTTCCAGTTTCATAAACAAATGCCATAACAGATCGTATTTTAGCAGAGCTGAATTCCTTTATTAAAGCCAGCTTCATAGGTTCTGCAGTTCCCGACAAGCTGTTATTTCAGCGTACACTCGGTGCTGTGGGCACCCGCTATCCTGTAAGAACGAGTCTTTCCTACAGTACAACAGAGCAGACGAGCCCAGGGTTCACACTGACGGATGCAGCGGCCATCAGGCCGGCTCGTGCTCCTCGTGCCCCGGACCGAGTCACGCATGTGCCAAGCTTTTGGATGTTCCAGATTTTGTCAATAAATTGTCTCGTACTTCTGCTACAGTTCGTGGTTTGTGCAAAAGCCGGTGTCCTTAGCAGCGGCTCTGTAGAGAAAAGGGGTCAATCTATTTTTTTTTTTTTACTTTAGAGAGAATTTATCCCTGTCGTTCAGATCGAGCGGTCGGTCTGGTGGTTTTTACAAGCCGGGGGGGGGGAGGGAGGAAGTGTCCTGAAGATGAGCACGTAGAAAATCGGTTCAGACACGCTGTCTTCTCGAACGAGAGCCTGCAAAGGCTCCTTGTCTGTGCAACGCAACCATCCTGTTTGAGGTGTGGGCCTCCCTCTGAAGCGTGGACTCGCACCGGGGAGAAAGGCACGGCAGCAGGGCGAGCCCTTCACGAAACGGCGGCAACTGGAGCACCGGGC